ATCAAATCGACCCGGGAATGCTTGAACGAAGTGTAGACGGCGTTTACACACGCTTAGGACAATGCCAAATGGTACAGGGTGGGCAATTCGAACAATTTCGCTAGATTTACACAAACATTAGTGTAATTTTACTCGTTTGAAATGTAATTTTGTCAACTTTGTTCTTTTCGGAGCCATTAATAGTGTAAGTAGACAATTATCGCTTCTAAGAACTTAAGGTGCATTTTTCTAAAAAAAAAAAAATGTTATATAGGTAAGACATCGAAATTTTCACACCGTTGTTTAGATAATTATCACTGTCATCAATTTCTTTCGAACGAAAAAAATATGCGTTGTTATTTAAAAAAAAAATTATGTCATCGCTGCCGTAAGTAGATTATCGAAAAAAAAATTTTTACATATAACAAGATGCCCTGGATCAAATAAAAATCGACGGGTCTCACCGTTTTTCGAAAAAAAAATTGTTTAACGAAAATATGAATTTTATGCAGAACTTTTTTATCACGCTGTATATTAGTCGTATTGAATTGATTCAACATAAATTTTTAAATTTTTTTTTCTTTTAAGTGTAGACGAACTTTGAACGACAACAATTTTCATAGATTGTGTGTTGAATATAATATTATAGCGCTAAGTTTAGCTAATGTTATTAACCTGTATAAAATTATTATTGGTAAAATCGACTGTGTCCAATTAATTAGTAAAATATTTTTTAATATACCATGCAGGCCGTTTGGGTCCTACGACTTATTTTTCAATCCTTTTAAGCATACCAATGCCTCCGCAAACTTTCCTGTGTGCAGAATGATGCGTTCTTATAACGATATTTGTAGCAGATTAGATTTATTCTCTACAACTTTAGTTTCATTTAAGAGATTGCTCAAACGTTCTTTTATAATATTTTTTATGCTATTCTTTTTATGATGCTTTTCTTTTATAATATTTTTCATGCTATTTATAATCTTAAAACACTTTGTGCTGTTGTTTGATGTATATCTGTTAATTTAGTGGATACTTTAGTGGTTTGTTTCGCCTGTTTGTGTCCCAAATAGTAAATAAATAAATATATAAAATAAATTGCTCACTTATTTGGTACCCGTATTACAGTAATTATATTAAATTAGTTGAATCCGTTCAAAAAATACTTTTAAAGTTTCTGGGAATTCGTATTGATCGCATACATCCCAGGAGATGTTGTGATTACAACAAATTATAACTAACTCGTTTTGATTTTAGTTCTTTAGAGTTTGGAAGGAATTTTTACAGCTTAAAGTTTTTACATTTGTTTCTGCGTAATAATATCGAGTGTCCCCATATCTTAAACTCCTTATAATTTTTAGCAAACAGATTAGCTAGTCGTACTCCAAGAACTTTGTATTGCGTTGTCCGCGGGGGAAAAAACGCCAAAATTCGTCCCTATTTCCAGCCGACTACGGAGCGACGTTTAAGGGCAACGCGAGATTCGCGAGAGCCGATATCGTGCCGAAGATCGGCCAAGTTTCGAAGCGTTCCTGTTAAAAGGGCGATTGAACGTCGACTTTGTCCACTCGCAGTTATGCAATATAATGATTCGAGTTAAAATTTAGATTAAAAAAATAAAGTTATATAACTACCTTAATATTTTTTCCGTTTCCAAAAATGTTTCATAAGAACTTGTACCATTTTCAATGCTTTGTTGATATTTGTATATTTTTTGAGCATAATGATTTCAAACACACAACATTTGTACCCAAACAATAAATGTAAAGATTTTCCCGTTTCCTTGTTCCAGCTCACCGTCGCCCTCAGCATCGTGCTGGCCCTGGCAGCGGCGACCAAGCTCACCAAGTCCGACCCCTTATGGATCGCCTACCACGTAGGACAGGGCCTGCAGGGCATCCTCGTCGCCATGCTGGTCACGTGCAACTGCCAGGTGCTCAAGCTGTACACGAGGAGTCTGAGGTCGCGCGCCACCAGGCACGTACCGTGCTATACGGGTCGCGGCACCGCCACCGCCCTCAGCAAGTCCACCAGCCTCCAGCTGCTGACGTGGGACCCCGTGCCGGACCCCGTTTAAGCTCACGGGAGCGGCAGGAGTCTCTAGGTGTGTACCGCGTGTCCCAGATTTTAACAACAATAGAGTAAAACGGATTTTGTTCGTGAAATTATGTTGTAGCTCCAACGCAGGCGTTTTGTTGGTCGGGTACAATTTGTGACTCGAGTGTTCTATTAATTCGAAAGGAGAAATATAATTTGTATCTCGAGGGAAAACGCACAATTTGTAGAACGAAGGGCCATAGTTTGTAACTCGGGTGAATAAATTTTTTACTCAAAAATATATACGGGGTGTAAGAAGTTCGACTGCCATTACTTCAGCATGAGATAGAGTAATCATAAATGAACAAAAAGTTGTATACTACAGGGGCGTAAGATTAACCGTTTTCAAAATACAGCGAGTATTAATATTGGGGAGTTTCATCGCAACGTGGCAACAGCGCTTAAACTGCTGATGCCCACGCGGCGGCCTTGTCCTACGGAAAAAATGTAAACACCTATTATTGTGAAACATTTAGTAAATTTCAATTGTTTTCCAGTTTTTAAATAAATGAAATAAAATGTATTGATTTAGTAGTACGAAGATAGTGCTGTGCTTAAATTTTAGCTGGAATTTTAGTAATTATGAATTTCTTAAAACAGCAACTTAACTTTTAATCAAATTATGGATTTGAAAAATATATAATTAAAGTTGCACGTCATCCATATAATCATACGTATTAAAATTAATTTAGGTACTTACCAAAAAGTAAAATTCAATAATTTGTAAACGCACAAACACTATAACATATGCTCAAAATGTCCACCACCATTTTCGATGTACGCACGATACCTTCGAATCCAATTTTCGCTGGAAAACACCTCAAGAAAAGGAAATAGTGGTACGCAAAAAACACTCCGACACGGTCGAATCCAGATACCAACTGAATTGCGTATTGGCGGTTGCTGGACACCTTAGTACCTAGTGTTAATAATAATATTAAGCATAAAAAAGTTCAAAAAAGTGATAAACATTGTATTTTATGATATTCTATGCACGCAGTTATGTAAATATTCCTTAATTAATCGAACTTTTATACATCAAATTGGGGATTTTGATAATTTTTTTTCTCGGAAATGTTTGAGTTTAGGACCCATACCATATACATTTTTTTTTGTTTATTTTAATGTATTCTATCGCCTGTTAAAATTAAGGCAATCAAACTTCTAATACCCTGTATATTTAATTTGTAGCTCGAAGCAAAATGCATTTTCTGTAGCTCGAGGGAGAGCTACAATTTTTAATCACAGTGGAAACTCTCAGAGGGGTTTCAGAATTTGCAACTATGTAATGTCAACATGATTTTTATGATCAAAAAAAGACAATGTAATTTGTAGCTCGACGCAAAAAGCATATTCTGTAGCTCTAGAAGGTGTCACAATTTGTAACTCGAGTGGAAACACGCGGCTATATAACTCGAGCTGAAATACAAATAATTGTAACTCGAGTAAATATGATCGTTGTACTAAAAAAAAAGAAAATATATATTTTGTAGCTCACGGATGTGCCATAATTTTCAATTCGAGTGAAAACTCTTGCTTGCTTCAAGTACATGTTACAACACGAGGTAAATGTTTTTTACATATAGCACAAGTAAGGTAAAATAATTTGTAGCTCGAGTGGCAAGACATTTTGTAGCTCCAAAAGGTGTTACAATTTGTAACTCAAGTGACAACTATTATTTTGTAACTTGTTGTGAAATACAATTTCTAATTCAAGGCAACAAATTTTTATAACTTAAAAAAGCAAGTATAATTTGTAACTCGAGTAAAATTTTCAAAATGATGACATTCCGAACTAATTTGTAAAAATTCAAGCTGCGGGCAATGACTTGTAGCTCGAGGGAAAATGCATATTCTGTAGCTTGAGGTGCAACAATTTGTAGCTCCCTTGAAAACTCTTGCTTTGTAACTCAAGCTGATATACTGGAATAAATATGTTTTTATGACTCAAAAAATGGAAGTATAATTTGCAACTTTAGTGAAGAAATATAGGTGACATGTGTTGTAATCTCAACTGGAAATATATTTTGTAACTCAATAGCGAGCAACGATTTTTTTGCTCGAAAATAAGCGCATATTCTGCCGTTTGAAAATGTGCTACAATTTGTAACTCCTGTGGAAAGTCTTGTTCTGTAACACGAGATAAAGTATGAATTGTAACTCGAGTCAATATGTTTTTTTGTACCTCGAAGAATAGAATTTGTAACTAGAGTGAAAAAATATGCAAGTAAGGACAATTTGTGTGACCTGCATTATATTTTCAACTAAAATATATTTTGTAACTCATTTAGGAACAATTTTGTAGCTCGAGGGTAGAAGCATAACTTGCCTTGCAATTTAATATAAAGTATCAATTGTAACTCGAGTGAGTACATTTTTTCTAATCAAAGAAGGAAATATAATTTGTAGTCCAACTCAATTGATAATAATATATTTGGTAACTCAGTGCACAAAAGAAAATTTGTAGGTTGAATGGGATATATAGTTGGAGCTCAAGATGTGTATTTCAATGGAAGGAGTACGTTGGAAGCTCAAAGATCCTGCGTTTGAGTTACATAAACACTCTACTGTTATTTTGAACAGAAAATATTTGTTCACAACTAATGTGTATAAAACATTGTGCTTGTTAGACATACTTTTAAATTTGTTTAACAATTATATTGTTAAGATGTTATAGAACAATCTTTATTTTTGTATGTACAATCTGGAACACACTGGAATGGACGATTAATCTTTCAAATTTCGCTCAAGAAAAAAAATCATACGAGTTAGTTTATAACAAACGGTTTATTTAAAATCTTTTGTTAAAAACTGGCAAATTATCACCAAATCAGTAAAAAAATGTCCTGGGGAAAGGTAAACCTCGTCCTGTACTAACAGGCTTAGTCGAGGAAGAAAAAATACAACAAACAGGCGATGAAAACTTCCCAGCACTTATTTTTTAAGCTTGAGCTTTTTATCTGAGCCTCCGGGTGAGGGCTTTCTGAAAGAGTCCAATTAAGTGGCTCCTTTTATAATTAACCTTGGAGTTTTGAACGTTATTCGTTATAATTTGCACTCCCAAAGAGTTTTCGAAGTGTAAAAAGGGCCTTAATTGCCGACAAATGGGACATCCTTTTTAAAAATAGGGGTAACTTTATTTGCGTTGATAATTTGCCGGTTTTTTAAAACTCGGTATGATGGTTTTCTGAAGTAAAATGGGAGTAAATGTATTTCACAACGCCATCTGTTATTACTTATTCGATTTATGTGAAAGATTAGACTGTCCGTTCTTCTAAAGCTAAAGCATGGTTATGAAGCTGGTTATCTATATTTGTATATCAGGTGCATTCCCCATATCACTGTATAAATAAGTGTTGTAGTTGTAACTAAATGTGGAAACATGTAATAAAGTTATTATTTTTGAGTGTTTTTTTTTTTCTCAAAAAAATTGGAAAAGGCAGATGTCGATGGAGTCAAAATTGCGAATCTTCTCATCCTAACAGCTGGACAAACACTCAAGAGAGGTCTTATCGTTCGAATTGAGCAGGGATTTCAAAAATAATTATTTGGAAAAAACCATTGGCGTACCATTTTTTCTATAAAAATATCAAAGTCAGTGCCGTACGGACGCAACTGTTAGAGTGAAAAATCATGTTTGTATTGAAAAATATGCGCTTTTATTAACTCTATCACTACATAGTAAATATCTGAAGCGGTGTCGAAAATATTAATTAATTTCCTTCTTTTCCTAAAATTTTAACATATATTATTAAGGAACACCCTGTATATAAAATGTTCTGGGATAAAACGAAAGTGGATTTTTTGTTTTTTTTATCAATTCTCAACAATGTTATGTAACGAACTAATTTTAATCAAATTTTAAGCAAAACTGTTCAATTTTTTGCTACGTTTTTTAACCTATTAAAAAAAATGGGAGAATTGTTTGCAAAATCTTTTGTTTGTTCTTTGAACTTTTAACAAATAATGCAACGGGAAAATTTCTATTAAAATTAAAGTTAAATTAATGTAGCTTCTTGTTTGATTTTTCCAATTTTTTTTGTCAATTTTTAACAACAAATAAATGTAACAAACAGATTTATATTAAATTTCAACCAAAACTGATAGAATTATTTGGTAACACTTTTGGGGGATTATTTTGTGAAACTTTAAGGAAAAATTTCTATAAAAATTTAAATTAAAGGAGCTTTTAGTTTTTTTTTGTTATATTTATTTATTATTTATTTTTGTTATCAATTTTTAACAAAAAATTTAAAGAATAAAATTGACGTGATTTTTGGTTAAAATTGTTTGAATGTTTTGTGAACTAACAAATTATAAAAATACTTTCTATTAAAACCTAAGTTAAATCAAGAAATTATTAGTTCCAATTTTTTTGTCAATTTTTAATGAAAAATGTTATAATACAATAAAATTATAGAAAGCTCACATACCTACTACCTGAAATTAAATTTACAAAGATGAAAGTGAAAGCTGAACTGACCGTTGTTGAAATACGTTTGAAAAAGGTGAATAAATTGCACTCAAATGGAAATACATCCTAATCAAGATGACCAGATCTTTTACTTCATAAAATTAAATAATTATTTTCTCAATAAAAATTAAATTCGAGGAATAAAGTCAATTTGCATATTACAATCGTGTAAACAAAGATCAAGCACATGCTCTGCGAAATTATTGGTCAAAACAGATTCAATGACAAGCCCAGTCAAAGATCCCACCTGCAAATCGTATAATAGTTTTTATTTCGTGCGTATCATTGGCGGCTTAATTTTGTTGCTGTTTACACTGTTTTGAATTCATTGACAGGGGATTTTTTGTAAATTTTTTTTATCAACTTTAATGTACAGGGTACATAAATATTAAAATTTAAGGAAAATATGGAGTTTTTTTGTTCGATTTTTTTCGTCAGTTTTTTAACAAAAAATGTAACAAGCAAATTTATATTAAATTCTAACGAAAATTGCGAGAATTATTTGT